AACAATTTAGAATACATATTTATATCAAAAAGACACTGATACAACTAATGCAGGAATGCTGATTTATAGCTAATTAATTTTAGCTTAATGAAACCCATGTTGCCTCATGCTTCAATTAACTCAGGCTTCTTTTCCTCTTCTATTTGTGGTTTTGCTTGTAAGTAAAACAAAGTAATTTTTGAGAAAGAAAAAAATTAGCATTGTAATTAGAAAGTGGTTATGGATAACTTAGAATAGAGAATGTAATAACATATTCCACAATAAAAATGGTCTTAACTTTAGCAACTTATGGCTCTAATTTGATATATCTTTCTGAAAAGTGAAAGAAATAGCACATAGGGCCATACATTAAAAAAATAACACCCAAAAAATGCTCACAGTTCTTTTTAACCTTGCTGAAGGACAAATATCAGTTATCTGGTTGTCAAAACCTTTCCAGGTCATTATTTCTACAGGATTTTCAGCTAAACTTGCTCAAGCTAGTACACCTTATTTACTCAAATATATCTGTGCCAGCTTCTTCAAAAAACGTTTGCTGCTTTTCTGTTTTCAGGAAGAAGAGCGTGCATCAGCATCTTGCAGTTCTCACACGTCAAATATCCTTAGACTCCTGTCATGATACTTCCAAGACGATAATAGCTACAAACATCCTCCTCCAAGCTGATCAGAGCTGAACAGCTTGAAGGCAGCTCACAAATGAGCCATCCAAAGGCCAAGCACTGCGAGGCAGCATCAGTGTGCATGTCAGAGCACATGAGAACAGAGTTGACTCAGCAAGACATAAATGATCTTCCCAAATCCCACAGGTAATGGAAGGCAAGACAGTCCTGTGTGCCACTAATCAGTCCCTCTCTCTGCTAAGGGAAGGAAATACTGCTGGTGTGTAAGAGCCAATTCTAAGGATGTCCTCTAACAGGACACTTGCAGGACTCATTAATTTGGTACTACACATAACAGTATACACTTTTCCTTTTGTCCACACAGAATGCACTGCATTCCATACATTGTGATTTCCAGCTATGCGCCTCTTTGTGGTAGAGGTAGTAAAATATAAGTCACATTCATCCTAACTCAGCAACAGTGATGGTTAACACCAGACAGTACCAACATCACCACTGTGGTTGTCTGATGTAGGCTTGGACGTGGAGCAGCTGAAATGATGGGTGAGGTATTTAACCTGGTTATCCTGAGGTTACCCAGCTGCCTGCATCAACAAAAGCCTGCCATCAGTCACCACATCATGGCTGCTCTTCTGTGCCCTACTAGTGGTCATCAAAAATGAGTGAAAAACTAAATACAGCAAGTCTAAACATCTGCTCTTATAGACTCATACGCTTCATCCTGTTATTGAAACCAGTAAGAGTTTTAAAAATATTTTCCATCGAGTACTGGATTATCAATGCCTCTCATAAGCATCCACTCAAAAAGTTAAAATTCCATTTATTTGAAGACATTGGTTTTGGTAGCAGTAGAAGTAACTTACTTAAATCTGCGCAGGATATTTGATATCTGATTGTTTGCTAAGTTGGGAAAAACAACTTTCTAACTTTGAGGCCTAACAGAATGTATTGGACATCACTATGTAATTAACATCACACCCAGGCAACTCTGATAAGAAGTATCCAGAATGTCCCCAGAATCACAGCTCTGATTTCTGTAATTTGCTGTCAGTATCTGAAGCAACTCTTGCCTTGTAATGCAAGACAATAAATCTAAGATGAGAGCAAATCTTTCCATACTGCAATTGCAGTCGCAGCAGCAGCTGTTTTGCCACATGAGTACACCCGCTAGAAATAAACTAATAATCCACAGCAACTCTGGCAGCAATGACAGCATCAATCTTTATAGAGGAAAACGTGCAATTGCTTACAGCAAAGATTCAGTAGAGCTAGAAAAATTCACTACTTGGAATCCTCTGCTATAAATAAGTAAAATGATACACAGGGTGTAGCCTGCAAATAATCTAATAGAAACAAAACTGGCTATAGAGATGAGACTAATGCACAAAGGAGCACACCTCAGTACCAGTGAAAATGTGATTATCAGGATATCGAAATTCAAATACAGGAAATAAAAGATAATCTGCAGAAAGATTCCAAAGTGTTTCTGAAAGAGCTGTAACAAAATTGATGGAAACAATAGAATGAAAAAAAGATGATATAAGTGTACTCAGAACAAAAAAAAAATTAATAAAGAGTGGCACTTAGATAATAACGAGGAAAGCATTATTTCCTAATCAAAACAGGGTTCATTTAATCACAAACAGTGTATTTGTGTCAAGGTAATAAATGACTAATGGATAAAAGACCTTACCAGCACTGCTGGGAACTATCAATTGCTACTTGGCTAAATGCAAAACACCTGCTGCCTTTAAGCTAGACAAAGTTTGTAGGAAAAGGTATTGCTTTGGGTTAGAATAGCTGTGCCTAGCTGGGAAAAAAAAAAAAAAAAAAAAAAAAAAAAAAAAAAAAGATGAAAAACAAGCCTCCAAGCCCCCAGAAGCTGAATTCAACCAGATAGTTCAATCTATGTTTAGAGACAGAGAGATTTGCAAGGCTCCAGGTGACCAGGTGAAACAGTTTGCTGCAGCTGAGTGAGGAGTGTGCCCAATTATGGCCTTTAAAACAGTGAGAGGCCTGAGGGATGGGGATATGGAGCTAATCATACAAAAGAAGAAAACCAGTGTTTCTAGAGACTATGCAGTTCTTAATGTCCAGTATGCCTCTATTTTTCTTCTGGCTTGGCAGGGGGGGGAGCGAGGGGAAGGGAAACTGAGGTGGTTTTGGGTTTTTTTGGTTGCTTGGTCGGGTTTTTAAAAATCTTTATTTTCTTCTTCGCCCAGGCCTGTGCAGTTGTGTTTTGTTTTGGGAGAGTTTTTTGGGGCTGGAAAGATGGGTGGGTTGATGTTACTTAGGTTCATCAGGCAGATGAGAAAAAAGAAAAAACACATAGTGGGAAACTAAGATTGTGGGTTGGCATGGTTTTGTGTGTTACTAATAAGTAAGTGGATCTATAATGTGTGTAAATTGCTCATAATTATTCATGCTGAATCCTAAAGAAAATATGGGTTTTTACATGATTTCATGTCTCCAAAGGGAATTGTCACACTGCATTTAGGGCTGGGCTTGCAGAAGAACTTCTTTGCTGACAGGAATGCAACACCAACTTTAGCGGTATCTATTAATGAAGTAGGAAGGTTAAATATTCACTTATACTACTGTAAAACTACATAGATGAGGCCTTCAAGGCTGAACTGCAAAAACAAAAATTACATGACTTTGCAAGGAGTGGGAAAGGACAAAAGCATACACATCATGGTTTGTGTCATGATCCATGAGAATTTTTCAAGTTGGAAATCAGATTGCCGCAACACATCCAAGCTGTAATGAATAAAATCAGGAATAGCTGTAAGATGAAAAAAAAGTGTAGCAGCTATGAAACGCTGATTTAATAGAACTGAGAATACCATTTATTCTGTTAATAAGACATAATTTAGCTGATTTTTTTTTTCTCCCATTTCTCTCAGTGGTTAATAAAGGTTCAGCACGCTGCGGCAAAGATGTGTATAAGCACACAGAAGATGTAAGCTCCCTCACATTTGTCAGGAAAATCCACAAATGCTAGAGAGGTTTATGTCCAAAAAGGAGACAGAGCAGTCCTGTAACTTTATTCTAATAAAGAGAGAGTCCAGTTGGGCACACAGACGCAGGGTTTTCTCTCCTGAGGTTTTTCAGGGGGCACAGTCTCCTTTTACCCTGCACTCCCGGCCGCGTGTTGCCCTCTTGCTTTGCCCATCGCTGAGGCACTCTAGGAGGGTACAGCCTTCCCGAACCGCCCGCCACATATCTCCCCCTCGAACCTACTATTTTATTCCAAAGTTCAGAAACTCAGGCTGTGCAGCCCCTTGTCTGTTTCACAAGCCAAGCTGCCTGGGCTCTGCAACAAACCTGCTGCCAAAGTTAGAGACACCAACACCCATTTCAGAGACTTTAACACCCGCACCCTCACCCTTCAAATCGTTTGTAAAGACATTGGCTTTCCTCTCGCGCTTTTCCTACACTTCACGGCCTGGCCGTGGCTAACTCTCACAGTGCAGCTCCAAAGTCTGAAAGGCTCATCCTGCCACTGCTGCAAGAAGCGGCCACAGGCAATAAAGCACCACAAATTAAGGAGTTAAATAAGGAGTTTAATTAAGAAGTATACTCTCCCGGCCCTGCCATTTAACCCTCAGCTGCCCGCCCCGCGGTTACTGACCCGCTGCCGGAAGTGGGCCGGGCTAGCCGCGGGTGCGCGCGGCGCTCGCGGCGTGACGCCATGCTCGGGGCGCACCAATGGGAGGCGGCGGCGGCTGCGTTTGAACGACGCGTAGGGGCAGGCGCGGGTGGTGCCGCCCCGCGGGGCCGAGCGGTCGCTCCTGCGCGTCCCGCGGGCCGAGCGCGGCACAGCCAGGCCGCGGGGGCACAGCCGGGCACAGCTGGGCCGCAGGGAGAGAGGAGCTGGACGTGCGCGGAGGGGGAGCACCGAGCTGCGGGACGAGGGAAGATCCAGGCCGCTGCTGCGCCCGGATCCGTGCGGGCCGTCCCGCCTCCGCCGGGGGCTCGGGCGGCCGCAGCCGGTCGGGGGGAAGGGTCCGGCTCTGCCCTCGCCCTTCCGAGGAGGTACGGCCGGCCGTGCGGGGTGCTGGGGCGCTGTGCCTGCGCTTAGAGGAGACCCCGGCGAGCTCTTGGCTCCGGCGCCGGTGTTGTTTAAAGCCCTTGCCCGGCCCTGCCGCGGGCACCGAGCGTTTTGCAGTTCAGCCACCGCGCGGTCGGGACAGCGGCCTCGGTGAGAATGGCCAGAGCTGCGTGTCTTTTCCTGGCTGTGGGGCTTTGCTGTTTGTGTTCCTCCGCTTAAAACTGCCGCGAGCTTCACTCGTCTGTCCCTGTGCCTTGTCCTTTAGCGTCGGAGGTGCAACCCCAGCTTCGCGAGTTCCTCGCACTCTCTACTTTTAAAGGTAGAAGATGGCAGAATCCTCGAGGAAGTCCTTCAAAGACAGTCTGAGCGATATAAAACAACGTATGAAAGAGAAAAGAACTCAGAAATGGTTAAGGCTGGGCAAAACTACCCAGTTCTCCACCGTAAAGGCCAAAAGAGCAAGTAAGATGCTTAAATGTCTTAGGACTTATAATTTACTTGTTTTCTTTTCAATCCCATTTGAAACACTCACTGTTGCGTTGCAGACAACACCTCCAACCAAATGAAGATCATTCAAGCAAACAACAGAGATCTGGCTCTGTCCTTGCAAGAACACAAGCTCAAACTGAGGGAAGCTGAAGCTACCATTCTTCAGCTAAGAAAAGAGTATCACATTTTGAAGGCTCAAATGTTTGACTTGCAAAGAAATCATAGGTTCCAGCAAGAACAAGGACGTGTGGAGGTATTTTTAATAATAACTATATGAGCTGGTGAAGCTGAACATGAGAATCTGTACCAATCCCTTGATAGATATCTTTATGATCTTAAATGTTTCATAAAACATTAACTCAGTATGTTCAATGGGGGTTTTTTTCACCTAACTTGGTATGCTGGTTTGGGTACCTTGACACATGGTAATGAATTTTTTTTCTCACTACTCTTTCTCATTTACTTAAAATAAGAAAGAGTAACGATAAAATCTTAATTAACAAAAATTAAAGTCTATCTTCTGTAAATTTTGTAGGGAGCTTATCACATGTGAAGGCACCTGACAGAGGTTTCTTCAGATTTTAGTTATAATGCTGATAAGTTTGTAGTTAATACCAGAGGATGATAGTAACAGTGTTACTGTCCTTTCTTTGTCCATTAGAACCGACTGTCAGCCTTGAATGAGATAATTTCCAAAGTCTCTCAGAATTTACTGGACTCAGTCGCTCTCCTTGGCCCAGCAAAGGACTTGTGTTCCACAGATGTAGTAAGTGCCTTTTTGTCTTGAGGAGCAGGACTTCTCTTTCTGATGGCCTTCACTTCTTCCACCACAGCTGCTCGTAGACTTATAGATCTGAGCCCTAGTTCAGAGCAAGGACCAGTCCCACAGTTCCCAGCATCCCGGGGTGCACACTGTGGGGGTGTCTCAGTAAGTGATAAGTGGGACTGAGGCTGTGCTAGGCAGTGGTTGGAGCACCCTGATTTTCTGGGGTTTTATGCACAGTTCCTTCCCCTGTCTGCTGGCTGTAGGATTGAGCTGGGGATTAACGTGCTGATGTGCAGAGAGGCTGAGAAGCTGGCTGGCTAACGCCCACAGCACTTGGTATTAGCTAGACAGAAAGAGAGTCAAGGGTCTCTGGTGCTTTTGGGGTAACTTGGCTGTTGTCTAAAATTTGTAGATGGTGCAAACTTGTTTCAGCCATATAATCACAGTAAGATTTATTTTGTTGACAGAATCAAAGAGTGCTTTCTTCAGGTCCTGGAAATGGTTGCAGTGTCACAGAACCAACACATTCAATGTAAGTATCGTTGATTAATGCCTGTCTATCTTTGGAAAAATCTGTTACAGGAAGTTTAATTTTCTGACTGGAAAAAGGGAAGCAACCCAGTGTAATGAAAACTGTTCCTTGTGTTAAACTTCATTGCTGTTCAGTAAATACTACCTTTGGTGTTTTCTCTAGAGGACCTCTAAAGTGTGTTCTTGAAGACAGTCCTGTCCTTCCAAGTGGGATGGAAGCTGGTGGTGACAGAAATTCTTTGTCAAAGATCTGTGTGGAATCTGACAGTGACATTTCCTTTACCAAAATAATTCCAAGTGAAGGTAACTAAATCAAAGTATCAGACATTGCTCTATTTTTGAATTAGGAAAACAATGTGTGATTACAAGTTTTAAAAAATTGCTGCTTTTAAAGGAACTGATAAGTATCTTTCTGCTTCTTGTCATAAAGGGCAAATACTAATGTTGTCCACTGCTAAACTGTTTAAATGAAGATGTCCAGCAAAATGGGGAGGAATTTGAAACTGCTTTATCTTCTCTATAGCTGCAGTCCAGTTTCATTATCTATCAAACAGTTCAACCAAGTAAAATTGCCTTTATACAGTCATTAGCATTTATGAAATCAATAAAACTTGTTAACAAAGCAAAATACTCAGGAAAATAAATGATCTGTAAATAACCTTTCCAAAAGGAACAGTTTAGAGGAAAATACCAGTGTTATATTACCTGCTTTCTGCATGGAGCCTATATTAAGCAGAGCTTATCTCAATTGCCAAGTCCTAGTTTATAAAAATCTGTGGAGAAAACCCAGAGAATAGTCTGAATTTTTGACAGGTTCAGAATTTTTTCAGGTTTTTCTGTTTGCCTTTAATATGACATTTTCCCTTCAATTACAAGGACAGCCATCTGATTTTCATCTGAACAGCACGGAGCCAGAGCTAGAAAATGTTTCTTCATGTGTAAAGTTTGGATGTGATAGCGTGTTACCAAAAAGTGTATCCACCAGACGTCACTTTTCGACGATGAGGAACCCTGATGTAATTTGTACTGATGTCTTGGACTGTTTAGAAGCACCTGATTCAGTAAAAGAACTTTCTGAACAGGATGAAATTAGGCTTGAGGAAAGTCTAGAGAAGTGTGCTACAGAAAATATAAAGGCAGCTGTTCCTCACTTGAATGAAAGCAAGGTTGATTCAGAGCTGGTGTTGAGGCAGAAAACTTCTGAAACTGCACAGTTCAAATTGAAACGTAATTCTGATCTTAAACAACCAGAGTGTAAAAGCAGAAAAAACCCTCAACGAAGGAAAGAAAAGCATCAGAAAGGAAAACTGGAATGGCCACTTACTTCCCAACAAAGACCAGGAAAACTGGGTAAAGAGGCTTCTAAAGAAAAGCAGAATTTCGTGGGTGGCATCAGTGATGCTTATGACTTTCATTTGGAAGAGAGTGTCCATCTTACACCTTTTCGACAAAACAAGGTGAACAACAGTGATACTGAAGTGGAGGATGAAGAAGACTCAGGTGAAACCAATACCCTTGAGTCAAGCAGTACTGCAGGGGACTCAGATGACAGCCTCTATGAGCCTTACAAGAGTAAATCAAAGAAAAGGCAAAGTTCAATGGATGAGAGCCCTATGTCACCAATCCATCCAAGGCCAAGGTCTAAAAGATGTTTGGCACAGCGTGAGCAGAAGCTCTGTCATGAAGAAGAGACTGAAAACAAATCAAGTGATAAGTCCATTAGTAAGTACAGAAAGTGTTTTGTAATTGGTTTTGTTTTCTTGAAAGATAACATTGTTTAGGAGATTTAGGGTTTTTTATTTTAGTGTTTGGTGTTTTTTAATAGCAACTAAAAGAGTAATGTTTTAAGAATGGTTAGATTTTCTTTAAAGCTTGCTTATCTGAATGAACTGAACTTTTCCTAATTTCTTCACAGAGCAGCCTCCTGAGCCATCTCGTGGGCATCTCTGTGATGTTACCAATACAGCTGCAGTGCTCCCCAGCACTGGGGATGCAGAAATTGTCCCTGAAGGTGAAGGACTTCAGTCCCCAAAACGCAAGCGGCGAAGCTGTAGTGTTACTGTGAACTATAAAGAACCAAGTATTGTAGCGTAGGTGTCTTGACTTTTCAGTTTGACATAAAGTTCATTATGTTCTATCCAATAGAGGATTTGAAAAGCTTATTTAGATCTTGAAAACAAGACCTTAAAAAATGAGCTCAAAGAACTCAAATTCTAAAGTTAATAATACAGCCTATTTCGTGTGAAATGGACCTTACTAGCTAAAAGTTATTGTTTTGAGTGATGTAGGGAACAGAACTCATTTTGCCTTTTTTTTTCTTTCAAACAGGAAACTCAGGAGAGGAGATCCATTTACAGATACAAAGTTCCTGTGTTCTCCAATTTTCAAGCTGAAAAAAGACATTAAGCGACATTCTCGTAAGATTCTATGAAAATATCCAGTGAGAAATTGGTTAGTTGTCTTTGAGGTCCTCAGCAAAACCATGCTTCTGCCATGAAGAAAATAATTTCATTTCGAAACACTTCATACTTTCCTGGATGAAGTATTTTGTTGCACAATATGTTCTATAAATATGTAAATATTTGTGTGTCTAGTATTAAAGACATCAGATTAAGGGGGCCTGGATTTATTCTAGTGACTTATTTTTAATGATACAGATTGATTACTTTTATAACTAAAGTGATTCTATTCAAGCTCCTTTTGAACAGATCTGGGAGTATATGGGAAATCTGATGGATAAGATGGTGAATGTCATTGTATGGGTGAACTTTAGGCACTTCAAATCTTTTGAGCAGCAAGTATTTTTAATAACTGTACAGATCTTGTTTATGTGATGGCTGTAGTTTCGTGTAGAATTGTACAATAAACATCTTAGTCTTTTGAAACAGCTCTGAGTGAATTGCTGCTCTTTTGGCAGTTTCTGTAGTTGCTCCAAGGACAATAATGTCAGCAGTGGGCATTACAGGCCTGTGTATTCTGTCCCCATCTTCTGTGGTGGCATAAGCACTGTTTAGAAGCAGTTCTGCAGCTGCCATTTGATTCTGTAGCTGCAGCTCTCAAAAGCAGCAATTTAGGCTTAGTTGGTCCTGCATTGAGTGAGTGCAAGTTAGTGTCAACCAGACAGAAACAAAGCAAATTTCTCCTGGTGAAGAAGGCTCTACTTGGATCCCAACTGTTGTGGGACATTCATAACAGTTTATAATAATTTTGTCCCTGCTTTGCCCAGTGCCTTTCCCAGAGGAAGAGTGCCACATTTAAGCTTGTGCTATTTGGTGCCACACTAGGCTGCATATGAGAACAACAGTATTCTCAACTGTCCACCACTCACACTACTTTCACTTTGCTTGAGACACACTGAAGTATTAATAGGTTTGTGAATACCCAAAAGAAAGCTACATTCTAAACATCTAATGGGAAAACACAAAAACTACATGCTCTTCCTTTGTTTTGTAAGTCTGCCTGTCCCACTTCAATAGGTGCAAGACCTCTCCCTTTCAGTAATAAAGCTATTACTTATTATTTTATTTGTAACTTCTTCCATGGCTCTCAGTAATACTAATACTAGCTTCAGCTACTAAGCCTTTGAAAATAGTCATTCACAACACAGCCTTTGGATGTTTGAATGGAAACTTTGCTTTACCTTTGTATCCTAAAATTCTAGCCACAAGGCCTCACCATCTCAGGCTGGAATTCTAGGACTAGAGGAACTTAAGCAGAGTGCTTGAACTATAGTGTTAGAGCCTCGTCCTAAGGCCAAGGTTGTGGGTCCTATCCCTGTATCAGCCATTCGTGTTAGAGGTGCACTTAATGATCCTTGAGGGTGTTCTGTGAACCCCAGGTGCTCTTTAAGGAGACAAATCTGCAACAGCTGTTTTAGCAGGGAGAGAAAAAAGATAGGGTCATTGTAGAGCAACCCAAGGCAGGTGTTGTGGGTCTGGGTAGTTTTTTTCTTACTGGAGCAAGCTTTAAAAATTGAAGTGATGTAGTACCAAGTAATGAAAAAAAGAGACCAAAATAAGTAGGGTTTTGTACATATATAATTTAAAACTATTCTGTACCAGTACAATATATTAATTTGACAAATGTAAAGTTCATCAGCTGTTAAAGCATTTGCAAAACCACATATCCTACCATAACTTTATTGCACAGTATCTATGAAAATATTAATTCTTAAATTAGAAAACACGTTTCAATATAGAAGAGACAATCTGATTGAAAGACGATAAGAAAATCTACTCTGAAAATAACAAAAATTCACAGGTTACCAAGCTTAACAGGTGCATCTGTAGGCCCAATCTACAAAACAGGTCTATAGTATCCTGTTCTGGCTATTAAAGAAAAAGTACTCACTGTACCTTTGTTATAGATCCCAATGTAGGTCAGACTAAATTCATACAAAACACGATGGCAAGTCCAGCATTAACATTTTGAATACCTTGGGTACCACATTTACTACTTCTAGATCGTTCCTGACATCTCCTTGCTGAATTGATCTGTGATCTAACATTGCACAGGCATTTTGCAGGAATAGATTCTTTGACACAGCACAGCATTGGTTTTCTCTCTCATAACTTGAATTTTACCAGTATAACATCTGTAAATATAAAACACCAAGAATGAAAGTTTAATCTGTTTTTCACAAAAGCAGTTATAACTTACAAACTCTAATTAGAAAATGTCAAGGGACAGCTTTTTGGCCTGTACTGATCTCCATTAAGGATTTAAGTGTACCTCTTAAATGTAGTGTAAGCAGCAAAATGTATATATATTTTATGTATATATGAGTGTGTGTTCCTTTGGAAGGTATACTAAGAGTTGTATAATGTTAATATGTTCCTGATTCTAAATAATCACAGTTAATATGCATTTACAATAAAGCTTGGTAGAAAATCCAGTTTACCACAGAGCCAAGTATCTAAGCTCGAAGCTGTCCTATGTTGTCTTCCTTTGTGTACAATAGTCTTATTTCTGCTGAACAACCTAAAGAATTTAGCAGTGAGGAGTAGTAAGCAGGGTGGATCATGAAGTGCACAAAACCTTAACTCTACTGAGCCAATTAGAATTGTCTAGTAGATGCGAAGTAGTCTCTAAAGTTATTTTGGGTACTTATGTCCTGCATAAGCCAAGTCACTATGACATTGCGCATCTAGCCAGATTTTTTTTTTTCTTTTTTCTTTTTCTTTTAAGAGTGGTTATGAGATTACAATCTGCAGGTAAAATATTTATCAAAACTGAAAATGAATAGAAAAACTTGCATCTATCAAAGATCACAGGCAGTCCTTTTTCAGAACTGACTGCTCTTCTCTCACAGCTTCTCAACCAGCTGAGTGTTTCTTTTAAAAAATAATATCTTATAAAAAGATTTTACAAAGAAACAAGTGTTTCAGAACCCCCCCACACCTGTTGTTTTCCCTTACAATTTTCTTTTTTACTGGAAAAAATAATAAAACTTTATCAAATAGGTACTGCATTAGGTAAGCTATAACATTAGGTAAGCTATAACATCTGTTGTCTGGGAATTTTCTTCATCTTCCCAAACATGTGCAACTTCCCCCATGTTTGTGGGGTTTCTGAGGCTGTAGCTGATAAACTTATTAGGAACATAAGGTAATCGGCACACAAAAGAAATATTCCGTAATTAAATACATTATAAAGCATTTTAATAAAATAATTTTTGTAACTTCAGTATAATACATGTTTGCAAAACTAAAAGGGTTTTTAAAAGTGCTAAGTATTAAACAGAAGTTTCTTAAAAGTCCACAACTCAGATATAGAACGGCTTTCCCTGTCCATAACATAGGCACACTATTTGGTTGTAAAAAAGACAGTGTCACTTGTCAATTAATCCAGCTTCTTTAATTTTTGTGTAGAAGAATTTCTCCAGTATATTGGCACATTTGTAGTATTCACTCTCGGGGGGGTTGTACTCTCTGCAGTTTGTAAAGACTCGCTGCAAGTCTGCCATGAACAATTTCTTAGACACGTAGTACCTGTTCTTGAGGCGCTCACTCATTGTTTTGAGATCTGCACAGAAGAAAAATAGATTAACAGCGTTGGATTCAAATACGTTTTGTGTGCAGTGTCCCTTCAGACTGATTTGCCATTTAACATGAACTGGCAAAGCTAGGATTTGGAATGGAAATTGCCTTCATCTCAGGCAGGGTCTGTATTTTAGCTTCAAAAGTAAGTGAGCTGCTGGAACTAAGCAATTCCTCACTGTAAGGATGAATTTATGTAGCATTTATTTTTGATTCTTTAAAACATTAAAGCTTTTTTTGTTCTGTTCTCATACTTAGAGCTCTGAGTTTTCTGTGGTTATTAGATGTCCCTAATCCTCTTCTGACTGTCCTGAGACAACCTGTTCTCAGCTCTGCTGGAGGAGGCCTTAGGGGTATATGGGCAAAGAATTCAAACATCACAAAACATGTATGTTAAACTAAAATCCTTACTGCTGTGCAAACACAGCAGAGAAGATACATTGGTTTGTCTACACTACAAGCAGGATTTGTAGCCTTGGAAAAAAAAAAGATAAAATTTGTTCTACTCTGTACATATATTTTTATTACCTCTTCAGAGTTTATAGTTGCATATCCTTTTTAAGAACCATGTGAGAACTGATCTCCCCTGCTTTCAGAGCATCATGCAAAACATTTACTTACAGAACATTCTTTAAGAAGTGTTCTCCTTTAAGAAGTGTTCTCCTTTATACTAAAATCAGTCATCCATAAAATATGTAAATCATCTGTGTTCTCCACATAGTCACTTTTCACTTTCCCAGTAATTCTCATCAAGCATTTAAAAATTCTGTCTACATTACAAGTGTTCTAGGAGTGAGTACAGGAATAGAAGTAGTGGGAGGTGTGCTGGATGCCTTGGCTTTTCTCACCTCAGATGCTCTAACTAGTTTTTAGCAATGCTTGAGCCAGGCATCAGCAGCACCTTTGTGAAACTGAAACAGGATTAGCTGAATTGAAGAAGACTTAATGTCAATGAGTATTGCAAGGACACCAGAGACCAAGGACCTCCAATGCAAAGGAATTAAACTTTTTAACTTCAGATTTTAAAATATGGTTGTATTTTTGTTTTGGTAATGGTTTCAGGGGGTTTGGGGGGTGGGTTGGGTTTTTTTAGGGGGAATTTGAATTTATTAAAGGAGAAGAAACACTTTCAAATTGACAAGATGGGATTATTTAAGGAAAGTTTAACAGATGCTCTCAAATACTTTTTCTAATGGTACAGAACTTGCTACTCCCTAGTTTTGCACAATATTTTGCAAAAGTAAAGGCTCATTCAGCTCTCATTAAGTCTGAAATTCAGGTGCCTATACCTAAAGTAGATATCCATGGACTAATTATAGCACCCAGCTGAGAAGGCTGTTCAGCTCACCCTAAAGCAAACGTTGCCTGGCTGGAGAGTTAAGCTGTTCTCCTCTAAG